TTGTAGCCTTTCCCAATAAATGGCCAAAGTGTTAACTATGTCACTTGTGAATTGTAATTTTGCCGAATATCTGATAATGTGATGATGAGTTGGAACTGGAACACATGGCTTAAAACTAATGGAACTCATTAACAGTTGTTAGGGAATGAACAGACGGGAAATGGGCATAAGGGCACAGAACTTTCACTAAATTGATGCAACTCACCAAACTTCCACATTTTGTAATACAAGGATGAAAGAAATATTATTCCTGGCTTGTTTGTTTGTTTGTTTGTGTTTTGCAGAATGTCACTTATCCTGCAAAAATAACGGAACATTCGATAGAGGAACATGCATGTGTTCATGTGCTGGAAATTGGATGGGAAATACCTGCGATGGTAAAATGCATTCATTATTCGTAAAATGTGGAATGTGAACGTTAATAACACTAAAATGTAGGTCAAATGACTTTCGCTCGTATGATTGAATGAGGTATTTCGTACAAAGATTACTAAATAAGTTGGGGACTGAACCACAATCTAGTGACGTCGCTAGTTTCTGCAAATGTCGCTTGTTCAAGCAGCGATGGCGTCATTTGTTTACTGTTTTCATCGGCCGGACTGTACTTTCTGCATGGTCAACAGGCATGAAATGGCCTACGTGAGCGTACCGTTTGAGGCTATGGCAATAGGCCTACTATTTTGGGAATTTGCCTCGGAAATCGTGAAAATTGCTTTGGTAAAAAGATGGATATTTTTAATGGCAGCATTTTCATGCACAAAGTACGCTTTGGAAAAACTGATTTAAAAACAGCCAATATAAGACAAGCAAGACTTGCCTCAATTTTAGCAGTAATGCTGACTTAATATTAAGATGATGGACGTGATAAACCATTGCAAGTAAACTTTCTCGTGTTTTAATCTTTTTTTTTTCAAATCAACAAGCATAAACCCTTTAGTGAACAATATTTAAATTTATGTATGTTAGCATTTCAAAACCTTCAAATTCACCATTGACCTTCTTTGACACTAAATTGCTTTGCATTTGCATTCGGCCTTATGTTTCCAATACACTCGACCATTTTCCCTTTTATTGGTTATGATACTAAACCATACTTTAATGTGTTGTATACTGGGCAATGTCACAGATTATATAACTATTAATCTTTAGTTTATTTCACAAAGTGGTAATAACTTACTTGATCTGCATCTGAAACTTTTAACAGATTGTTCGGTGAGCTGTCCAAATGGGACTGCGAACTTTGACAGATGTGAATGTGTGTCAAGCGGCAACCAAAGTAAGACAGTGATAAGTCTGCCGAAGAGAACTTAATTATGAAAAAGCCGATACCTGCAAAGCCAGTCCTGTTTCACATCACGTGGCGGTGCCAAGTTGGATTGAATATTAATCGCGCCCAACCTTTACCTTATTAATCATGCTCTTCAAGAAAAATACCTGTTGAGCCATTCATTTTGGAGGAACTATTTGTTTTAATTTATTACCTGCACATATTATCTGAAAAATGAAACTAAAGTTTCGTATAAAAGGGTAGCTACTGTAAATTTTCCAACATTGTTGGAAATAAGCTTCGGGAAAAAGGGCTGTTTTGTGCGTGTACCGTTAGTTTGATCAAGTAACCTGTACCTTAATGTGGTTGACTGTACTGAGAATGTATACCTTCATTTTGGACAAAATTTATTTATTTATTTATTTAATTATTCTGGTTTATTCAATTAAAATATACAGGGTAGGCAGCCACATCAGGGTCGCTGATAAAACCCCATTTATAATAATTCATTTTAGGCCCATTTTGTGTCTGACATATGCGGCAATAATCTAAAGGCATCACATATCAGTAGAAGGGAATATAAAATGATAAGAGTATGGAAAATGATTCATTAGTTTTAAAAAAAGGTAAAAAACCAAAAACAGTTGAAGACATTTCATTCAGGTCAGTTGGTTAAATGACAAATTCTCACTCCCCCATACGAGTAAAAATATTACGAATTACAAAAGTTTAGCTAAAATTGGAATTGAAGATTTCATGTATCTATCAGTTTTACACTTTGGTATAACTAACTAATGTAGTCGTGGAACTGTCTCTGAGATCTATCCGCTTTACACTTTAGTACAACTAGTGTAGTCGTGGAACTGTCTCTGAGATCTATCGGTTTTACACTTTGATACAACTAGTGTAGTCGAGGAACTGTCTCTGAGATCTATCAGTTTTACACTTTGGTACAACTAGTGAAGTCGTGGAACTGTCTCTGAGATCTATCAGTTTTACACTTTGATACAACTAGTGTAGTCGTGGAACTGTGTCTGAGATCTATCCGCTTTACACTTTGGTACAACTAGTGTAGTCGTGGAACTGTCTCTGAGATCTATCAGTTTTACACTTTGGTACAACTAGTGTAGTCGTGGAACTGTCTCTGAGATCTATCAGTTTTACACTTTAGTACAGCTAATGTAGTCGTGGAAATTCTTGTAGTTGTGTTGTTCAATTTAACAGGTGGAAGCATATTTCTAAATCTGGGTGATTTCAAATGTTTCGTACCAAAGTTATACAGTAAGGTATCCCTTCTAGTTTCAAGACTAGAAATACCTAACACATCCAGGGCATTGGAGTAGCTGTGATAATGACGAGGGCCTAATATAATACGACATGCACGTTTTTGTACATTTTCAATTTTATTAGCCAGTTGTTTACTTATCGAGGTGTGCCAGACTGGGCTTGCATACTCTAAAACTGGTAAAATGTAGCATGTGAAGACCGAGATTAAGTCAGCCAAGGGAGCATCATATTTCTTTAAAATACACAAGGTAAATAATCTTCCACAGGCTCTAGAGATAATATCAGCAACATGAATGTCCCAGTCTTCGTAGGACTTTCTTTTGGCCTTGATTTTTTTATCTATAAATGTTAGTTTATATGTTGCCAAAAGAAATAAGGACTCACAAGAGTGTCTGTGAGTGGCACTATAACTCGAAAGCAAGGAGAATCCGCAAGATAAATGGTAATTGTTGAAATGCTAAGTTTCAGAGGTGAGAGGAAAATAGCGGGAAACGTCCACGGAAAGTTGCGAAGTCTGATGGTGGATGGTGCTGATTCTTTGCCAGAAGAATTTCAAATAATAGGAATAATAATAATAATAGGAATATAATAATAATAGGAATATAATAGGAATATAAATAATAGGAATCTATTATTTGAAATTCTTTTTTTTTTCAGGCCTTCTGCCTCTTGTCTCATTAGCTGGACTCGCATCAGGCATCGCAGTCCTACTCATAATAGTTTGTTGCTTGGCCCACTTCTTTTCCGGTCGCCATCTAGTTGGGCAGAAGCGCAACAACCTCGCTGGAATTAATTTGCCATCTAACTGGTGGGGGGTTGCAGATGGACGGATGGGTCGTATGGCTGATGCTCTGACCGACACTCCCTACATGCATCAGGTTTGTTTAAAGTTCTCCTTTTGTTCAATCTCTGCTGTTTACAAATTCGTAATCATCAATATGTCTAAATACGTCAGTGCTAGCATCGAAAGTTTCAGACTAAAACTAGTATAGGGTTTATGTTACACTTACTTGTACAAGTAAGTTTCAACAGGGAGATATGGCTTTAACCCACCAACAGATGACATGGGGTTTATTTTTCCACATTTTCATATTTTCTAATAACTTTATGATTTCTTGTTGAATGAAGCTGGCAGTTTTGGTAATCCTCAAGCTACCAATGTGCTTCAAGACTGACGGTCCCTTTAACCTGGCCCTAACCACTGTAGAGTACAGCCTGCTGAAAGACCAGTATTCCCAAGGCGCCCATAGCTATGTGCAGTAACTGGATCTCTTTGTGTACAGACTTATGCTGTAATTAATTAATTAATTAATTAATTAATTAATTAATTAATTAATTAATTAATTAATTAATTAATTAAAGGAAAATCAAAGACTGCATAAAATTGTGAAAAACATGACTGGTTAATTGCAATGAGCATACCCCAATTGGGTCAACTGATCTGAAGACTAAAATATCCACCCCACTTCTCGTATATTCAGCATCCAGATTGAAAGGGCTAATCGCATACCTTAAACTGCAGCCCCTAAAATAGGGACGAGGACCATTCCACGCGTACATGAATGTGCCCAAACTGAACCAAGAGAGGTGCGTGGTTACCTCGATAACGGCAATAGGTCAATTGGTCACGCCCACTAGATGTTGCTCATGCATGCCACGCGTATAATGCACCCAGATAATGATTCCGGAGCCGGTTTTGCATTCATGAAAAATAAGGGTACATCATATTCCCATCGTGCAACACTGTCGCGTGACAAAACTGTGGCCACTTTCTAGATGGATTAACACTCTCTGCCGAGTTATTCCGCACGCAAAAAACTTTTACACATTTTATCTGCCTTTTTATAGATAACCGATTTCATAACCACGGGGAAAAAAACTTTTCTGAAGTTTTCCCAAAAGCCATATGTTCAGCTGTCGCACGCACAGTGGTTGTGTGTAAACATCATCTCTATAAATAGAAAAAGGAGCTGCGCATGCGCAGAACAAAACCAACCTTGGACCCCAGGAAGCAGCTTGTTACTGGTTCCTATTGGGTGCACCGCCGTAAATAAATTCTCCACAGACACCAGTCGTAAATCCATACACTTCGAAAACCAGTCTTGGGGCAAGACTAGGATGGGGCAGTTGTGAGGTATCAGGAATCAGCCATTAATAGGCCAGTCCATTGAGCCCTACCCATTATAAGACCCTTTTCCCCACGTGACTTTATTGCGCTAAATGCTCTTGTAAACAATACCACCACGTGTAGACACCTTGGCCACTGAGATCACACATATCCCTATGGGCAGCTTCAACCACGTGCAAGCGCACGTGCGAACGTTGCATGCTTGATTTATTTATCCTGAATAAGTAGATTGCCATCACAACACTATCCACTCATTACAATCACAATATGGCGGTCCGGCACGATTTTGACATAACATGGAAGAGGTTATATAGAACCTACAAACAAGTGTAGGGGTTATGTCTGCGGTCAAAAGGGGGGCACTGGCTACCCTTCCCTCTTCTTCCACCGCTAGTAGAGTAGGGAATTACCTTATAAAATGTGCTTAAAAACTATACTGATCTGTTTCTACTTGACATTCGTCAGTTCTATTATCTTAATTTTACACTTTCTCGTATATTCTAGAAGGTGAGTAGCGCCATACCGTTCCGGGTGACAGGCCTAGAGGCCCAGTACTTTTACGACTACCCGAAGGTGAGTGATTCTCTAAATCCTAAATTCATGAAGGCCATGCTGAAACATGACACTCCTCACACAAACACTTATCGTAGAAATTATTATTTATTTATCTTATTAATAAATTATCTTATTAAATTTTGAAAATCCGATATTCCCAGTGTACGACATGCAGCATACCTCTGAATTTAGTGGACTATCCAGATTCCAAGCAGTTCTGATATGCGAATGTCGCTCTACGGCTTGTCATCAGCAAACTCAATGGGGTCCGAGGTACAAATGGAGACGGTGTCACTTTCTTCAAAAGATTAACTGTCCATGGACTAGGTTCCCAGTGCCCGCTCCTGCAACTGAACGTTCTTGTTTTCTCAATTCACTGCAGAGCTAGTTATAAGTTACTTATCTCACCTACAGGCTGCCTTGCACGAAGAGGAAGCGAAGACCAGAAGTGATCAAATCGTCTCTAGATTTCAAAACTCTGGTATGGATTTGGTGTTCTAGACTCCCGATACCGACATCTGTTAACCTTCAGAAGTTGACGTGCAGGAAACAAGTAGGGATTACACGACCACAGCGTCTTGGAATAGCTCCATATTACAGAATAAAAAGGAAATAAGATTTTTTTTTATTTTGCCACATTTCTGATGGTAAAAACGAAGGGAAAAATCTTTTAATAACAATAATTTAGTAATAATTTTTTTTGCCAATTGCGTTGAGTAGTTCTTGCCCATCCCTCTTTGGGTAACACGTCGACACACATGTTATTGCTACATTTGCAGCCAGAGATAATGGCCCATTGTAGCTGACACGTTGTCCATGGCAAACTCTTACTATATATTTTCTGTCCTAACATGCTACCCCATATGAAGCGAGATATTAGACAGAGAGAACCCCTCTGTTTTGTGTTGGTCATTGTTTCTCTGGAATCTTTCCGGGCACGTAGGGGGTGTTAGGCACCAATAGTCTAGAGTGTGTATAGACCTTTTTCACCCACGTGACTAAATGTAAACAATACCACGATGTGTGGAACGCCTTGGCCACGGTGATCGCGTTTAAAATTCCCACAGGCAGCTTCAACCACGTGCAAACGCATGTGCGAACGCTGCATGCTTGACTACACTGTAAATTTTTTCCCGTAAATTTCCACAGTACTTTACTGGCAGCACGGGCGCCAGTAGTAAACTGTTCACGATATACAGTAATTTTCATGGTAAATCGCCATCATTTATTGGACAGTAACCAACCGTAAAAACATCAGTAACTTATCTCATTTTATTACATTAATTTGATGAAGACATTAGACACAGCACGTTACCGTGTTCATTGATTATGATAGGTTCATTTCGCATATGTAGGCCTATTCAGGTATATTTTCTGTTGATAAAGAATTCTCAAATTCCCGTGAATTGTTAACAGTTCAAATACAATTACATATAAGATACACATACCTTGTAATTAGAAGTCTTGATCGTTGCAGAGCATTACTTTCATTCTTGACATGCACTGACATGGTACATATGTGCATTGTTCGGCTCCCAAGTGCATTCATTTTTCACGTGCGATTTATCTTTTTAGGGAATGGTTCGCATTTACGTGTAAAATTAGATTCAAAAAGCACAACATTTGTCAAACAAATGTAAAATACATGCGTAAAGAATGGAAAAAAAACACAAAATTACTTGGCAAAAGTAGCAACGCGCCATTTGTGTCAATACGCGAATTGGGTCAAAGCTTATACCGTAAAACATTTCTGTTAAATAAACAGTATTGTACTACATTCACAAAAACA